ATCCACTTGCATTAAATGTGAACAAGTTTTTCCAATAAATTGCGACCCTATTCATTGTCCACAAGCAAAATCAAAATATCCTTGTAATTATATTTCATTCAAAAATAACACTATGTAATCTTCGTATTCAAACTCATACTTTTTATAACTTTATGTTTTGTGTTAATAAAAATATTTAGATCTTAAAAAATAAAATATTATAATTCTTTCTACTAGTAAGGTTCTTTGTGCACTGCCTGGATTTGTTTCAAGAGCGGCGAGTATTATCAATCCGTTTTAGATTTACAAAAATTATATTGAGAGAGGGTGGATTTTCGTAGACAAACATTTAATTTTGTTAAATTGTAATAAATATGAAACAATATCAAACCTTTGATCAAATAAATAAGATTATTTAAAATAACAAATTTAGGAAAAAAAATTTATTTACTGAAAAGAATGGTTTGTCGTTTCATGAAGCTTATAACTACCATTTAGTATATTTTATGGGGTTACCCACAAAGGAGAAAACTTCAAAGACGACCGTTTGGAATTTATTCAGGTGTTCAGTCAGAAACTCAAATTAAATCTTCAAATTTTAGGTCTTCATTTAAAGTTCCATCCTTTGTGGGTAACCAATAACCATGTATTATTATTTAGAGCGTATTATATATACAATACGTAACATGTTTCGTAACATGTTGTACAATGTACAATTTTAAAGTTCCATCCTTTGTGGGTAACCATCAACCATGTATCATTATTTAGAGCGTATTATATATACAATAAATAACATGCTTTGTAACATGTTGTACAATTTACAATTTTTATTTTTAATTACTGACAATTTTCATTTCTCAGTGTTCATTTCTTGTAGAATTAGCAAAGAGAGAAAAGAAGTAACATTATGGATAATTTACTGGTAATAATTATTTTTCATAAATACATTTGGTTTATCTTAAATATAGTTCATTTCATTTTAAATTGGTTCAGGAATAATATAGCTTTCACTTAAGAGGAGAGGGGGATGGGGGTAGCCCCCTTAATATAGACCAGTGATGTTGTTGCTCTAATTCCATTTTAATCATCTTTTTAATACATTATAATTTATAAAGAGGTATTTGTTGAAGTAAATTTCTAGAGAAACTTTTTTTTGAAGTTGATTAAATTTTCCTAAGTAACATGTTTCTTCTTGGAGAAAGAAGGGTGTCAGGTTCAAACACAATGATATTCCTTGCCTTAACAGTGTTAATTATATAAATTAAGTTATTTTCACAGTTAATTAAATCTAAAATTTAAATATTGTCAATTCATATATATGACATTTGCATGACGAATAGAATGTTGAAAACTTTGAGTTTGATAAACGCCTGGTTATCGCTGTGGGTACCTAAGAATATGGAAAAGAATCCAACTTGTATTGTAAGAAATCAGATTAATAAAATGTAACATGGATGATGGATGAAGTAAAATATTAGGAAACTGAATATGTTCATTCATCTGTTCATTGTTAGAATTTATTTATTTATTCTGTACCTGCATTCCGGCAAATGTAACGATGTCAGTGACCAGAACACCCTGTCAACAAATACAAGGTGTGTGTAAAATATTTTGATTATGTCACATAGTTTATCTATATATAAATTTGGCTTGTCTGTTTGTCTGTTTGTCTGTCTGTCTGTTTGTATCCAATAAACGTCAAAATGGCTGAACCGATCGGGCCCAAATTTTTTGTGGGACATCTAGGGACCCCAGGAAAGGTTTATGAATGATTGAAATTTTAAATATTTGTCTCCATCAAAATTCGATCGTCATTAAATTTTTGAAAATTTTGAAAATCCGCGAAATTTTTTGTGAAAATCCGCGAATTATTTTTGTTTTGTTTTACGATGTACACAAAGAGAACATGTTCACAATTAATTTAGAAGATGGGCGCGAAGCGCCCTCTAAGGCTAGTATTTATAATTCCTATACCTCCGGTTGTTGTAAGTATTTCAAAAGGGTGTCTCTTTGCTCCAGTCTCTGGTCACTTGTCATACTTTCAATAGAGTACTGGATCACATTCCTAAATTAAAAATAAGTTTAATAATTTCTGTTATTTCTTGCAGTAATTGGTTAGCCAAAGATATTTAGGCTCAATCTTGTGCCACCTCCACCCCCCCCCCTCATCCCTGCAACTTTACCTTGTATTTATTGAAATGTGTATTGATATTTTGGATTAAACATAATATAGTTTCCTAACTTAGGCAGGTCCACTATGGAGTTTGGTGTAGGTTCAAACATACGGTGTTTTTGGTAAAAATGAAGAAAAAATATTGCCAATATTTCTACGACGTACTTTTTAAACTCTTTGAGACCTCTACAGCACCTGAACCTAAAACTTAATAAACTTAATTAACATAAATAGGACAACAATCCATTTACTGGGGAGGAGGCGAACAGCATGTATATTTATATCAAGACCCCCAAGCTTTTTAAAGGTCAAACCTTTGGTTTTCAGGATCTCCACTCATCATCTTTCCTTTTATATCAGCAAAGACACTGCTAACATTATTACAGAGAATCACAACAGGTTCCTCCTTATCAGGGTAATTTTTCTCCAAAGTTGTTCTAAATTAAAATGAATTCAGTAATGACAATTAAACAGTTAAATTTTACCTATTATAACCAATATTTATCTCTGAACGAAATTGAATTTTATGAATTTAGTAGTTGAACTGCGTAAATATAGTTGAACCACTAATTTTTTACTTAAGAACCAGCAAACAAGAAAAGTGATTTAACTATGTCTCCTAGTTTAAGTACTTATCACTATTCTATAAATAAATAGAATCTCGTCCTTGGGCAATGGATTTGAGTCTTTGTAACAAACTCTGATTTTCTTATTCCTATATCTTTGCAACCAAATGTCTATAAGACTTTAAATATTTCAAACAATGTTAGATCAAACAATCTAAGTTTTAAATATCAAAGGTTTACACCATTATGTTGCGAAGATATAGGGATTGTACAATTTTAGTTTGTGGCAAAGACTAAATTCCTTAAATACAAAATCTTTAGAGATATTTCTAAATAAATAAAAGAAAAAAGAAAACATTTTTTTAAAATTATGTTAAAAAAAGATGCTTACAGGAGAAACAGTTCTGGCCATTGAATATCATAAGTATCTATTGTGACACAAAAAAAAACGGTGGCACCCATGCATAATGCCTTCACTCGCTCAGCCGGCTCTTTTAATATTTTGCCTAATAACATGTTACTTGGGAAAAATCAATGAAATCATGCAGACAATGAATAACGAATATACATGACACTTTTAAATGTCTTCTTCCATAATTTGTTAAGTTGTTTAATACGAAATAATAACAAATATTATAGTAAAATTAATTTTTAAGTAAAATATATCTAAGTAAAAGATTTTACTAACGAAATAATCTGCAAAAAGTGTGTGTTTAATATCTAATACAGTATATGGAAGAAGACATTCAAAACTCTTCACGTCAACTTTTACGTTTTTTGGGACACTCTGTAGCTGGATAAGATCAGCATCATAAAGTCATTTTATTCTTTCTAAATAAAAACAACTTTTAAATTTGATCCTTAACTACTAGATGTACATACACAACAATTTATACATGGTGTCCCAGTAAACATGAACAATAAAGTACAACTTCCAGATCGTCTTTGTTTTACATGGCATATATATAAATTCAAATCAATGGAATCTTCTAATCAAGGGTTTCCCAAATTGGTTTACAATGTTCGTCCCTTCAAAAATAAAGGAGATATTGAGAAATCTATAAATATACTTTGCTTGTCTGTCTGTGGGGAACCTCATATTACCCCCAGGGAAGGTTTATGAATGCTCAGAATTACAAAAAGTTGTCTCCTAAAGTTTCGTAAAATTTTAAAAATCCACGAAAAAAATTGTAAATCCGCAGAAACATTTTGTTTTGTTTTATAGAAGAGATAATGCTGAAAGATTGAGCAACTATTTAAACTATAAAAAGGATAAAAAGAAGATGGGCGGGAATCGCCCTGATTGTCTAGTTTGTCTAAATTCCAATTCATCAAAAAATAGTTTGAATGTTTAATATCTTTGTAATTTTTAACATTAATAAGTCATACAATATTAATTTGTTACACTCTTTGTTATTCATTAATTATTGGAACTCAAAGATAAAATCAAGCTGATTCAAGGCAAAAATTGTGCAGGAACTGTTACACAAATTGTTACCAAATATTTTACAAGGCGAAATAACTTGGCAAACCTGAACAAGGCAAAATGTTACTAATCAATATTCAGTAAATGATACACAATAAACATAGTTTGAATTACCTAAGAATATCAAGAATGTCATGAAGGTTGTCTATGTTGACTCTGATATATTCTGGCTGGGGTCCTGACCATGATTTTACATTTTTCTGACTTTCGATATTTTTTATTGTCTTTTCTTTTTATACTTATTAATAAACTAATAAAATGATTGGGCTTAACTTTGCTTTAGAGCCTGGGATGGCCAGAAGACGGTCAAATGTTCTTTCATAGCTATCACTTAACTTTTTGCCTAATAGTGTTAACCTGTATAATTTAAATAATTGTACAAGCGCAGATATTATTCTGCATTAATAAGATTTTTGTTCTAAATGCAAACTTCATGTAGTCAATGAAGCTGAGATGGAATTTAAAGAATTTGAGCCGCGGTTTAAATCCGCCAAACCCCGGTTTAAATTCAGCGCCGGCTTAAATCTTGAAACATTTGATACAATTTTAAGTGAACCTACCATATTTAAACCACAGCTTAAATTTAAATCGCCGCTTAAATTCTTTAAATTCGGCCACTGGTTGGTTAAATTATATATCTATGATTGAGTTTATTGGAATAAATAAAATCTATTCCAGGTCATTCTCCTATACTGAGTTATTTCTGATCGACAGGATCAGTGTTAATGATTTGTTCATTAAGAAATTAGAAAAAGTTCCTATGACAGGGTGATGCTTAGGTCCATCAGCCTTTTTTCGAAGTTCCACTAGGTGATCCCATCTAAAAAAATATATTTTTCTTTATATTTTAAATTACATGTCTTATTAACTTGAAATGAACCTCTCATTTAGAAGTGTGATTCTATGCAAATGCATTATTTTTAATTTACTAAAAAAAAAGAGAAACCGACCAAAAGTGCTAGAAAATGAGATATTTTCAATTAGTCTAGATTGAGACATTCATGTTTTGAGCAAAAATAAATAACTCAAAACAGGCTCAATTTTAAAACAAGGCTTTCTGAAAAAGAAGATGGGCGGGAATCGCCCTAATAGTCTAGTTTGACTAAATTCCAATTCATCAAAAAATAGTTTGAAGGTTTAATATCTTTGTAATTTTTAACATTAATAAGTCATACAATATTAATTTGTTATTCAATAATTATTGGAACTCAAAGATAAAAATCAAGCTGATTCAAGGCAAAAATTGTGCAGGAACTGTTACACAAAATGTTACCAAATATTTTACAAGGCGAAATAACTTGGCAAACCTGAACAAGGCAAAATGTTACTAAGCGATATTCAGTTAATGATACACAATAAACATAGTTTGAATTACCTAAGAATATCATGACTGTTGCCTGCGTTGCATTCGATATATTCTGGCTGGGGTCCTGACCATGATTTGACATTTTTCTGACTTTCAATATTTTTTATTGTCTTTTCTTTTTTATACTTATTAATAAACTAATAAAATGATTAGGCTTAACTTTGCTTTAGAGCCTGGGATGACCAAAAGACGGTCAAATGTTCTGTCATAGCTATCACTTAACTTTTTGGCCTGATAGAGTTAACTTCCCTGTATATAAAGGGTATAATTTAAATAATTGTACCTGAGCTATTCATTCTGCATTAATAAGATTTTTGTTTTAAATGCAAACTTCATGTTGTCAATGAAACAGGTTGGTTAAATTATATTCCCATGATTGAGTTAATTGGAATAAATAAAATCTATTCCAGGTCATTCTCCTATATGGAGTTATTTCTGATCGACAGGATCAGTGGTAATGATTTGTATATTGAGAAATCAGAAAAATTTCCTATGACAGGGTGAAGCTTAGGTCCATCAGCCTTTCTTAGGGGGGGTCCTAATATGTCTTCAAAACTAAAAAAATTATATTTTTTTTTATATTCTTAATTACGTGTCTTGAAGAGTATCTCTCATTAAGAAACAATTGTGATTCTATGCAATTGTTGTTTTTGATTTATTAAAATAAGAGGAATTGGCCAAAACTGATGGAAAATGAGATATTTTCAATTAGTCTAGATTGAGACATTCATGTTTTGAGGAAAAATAAATAACTCAAAACAGGCTCCATTTTAAAACAAGGCTTTCTGGAACGCTCTCTCTGCAAGTGACTAACAACACTTTCGGATTTCTGCTCAAAGAAAGCAGCAAACTTTTCCACAAAAATTAAAAGTTATCAATTTGTACCAGGTTGAGTGGTTTTAACTTCATGATATGACAGTTTTACTCTAACCAGAGCCATTTTATTCAACCATCAAATGTCAACTCAAACTAATCAACTTTCCAGATTTGCAAACCAAAATTGGCGCATTTTTATTAATTACAATTTAAGTAAATATAAATAACATTTGTAAAAATAAATAAAAAATCGACTATCATTCCGTGTAAGCCCCTTCAAACATAACTGCCAAAGAACGGAAATTGATGTAGCATTTGTATAGAATCACCATGTACACTGTACAGTGTACATTCAAAGAAACATATGTTCTTCTATTTTGAAAGCAATTGCCTGTATCTATATTAAGGATGTGACATTTTTCTGGAACAATTTTACAGAGGATGAAAAGTATTCTACTAGTAAATATACTAAGCCATGTTTAACAAATGCATTTTTAACAAATTTTAAAAATATTGAAATTTGATCAAGTTAGGTCGAAAAAACACTTTTTGAGTACTTGATGAAATTTGTTAGAGAAAAAATGATTTTTGACCATTACTTAGTCTTTCCCGATTTTCAATATTTTTTAATTCTGTAAAATGTTTTGAACTCTGGTTTTCCAGTCGGTTCCATGCATACCTATAACCCATTACCCATATTGATAAGATTTAAAAAAATTTCACTTTCACTTCCTCTACTGACTTTTCCTTAAGTTTTATCATTAAATCCCATTTTAGGTCTTTGAGGGTCCATTTTTTAATTTTGTGAAATATGTATTATATTTAAACATGCATTAGAATTCCAAGTGAAATACTATTTTGCTTCTGCAAAATATGTTCAGGAAAATTTCTCACCCCTAATCTATATTCTTATATATGAAAGAAAAATGAATTAATACAACTACTCTTTTATCAAATATTCGACTAGTCGGTTTAACAACTTTATTTTTATTTACAAAGGTACAAAATCATTGAAAAATACTATACGAATTGGGTTGAGTGAATCGAAATATTCCAGAGTAGGGGAAGATCTCTAGGGGAACCTAATAACTAGGGAGCTGGTCTTCAACTGCCTGTATGCTTTCAATTTCGCTTTACCCTAACCTAGAGCTCTCTCCACCTATTTTTGATATTTCATTTTCCTCAAACCCTAAAATTACCCCATAGAATTCTTAGAAAATGTTTGCCTTGTGTATGGGGATCTTTAACATGTTAAAGTAATTTAACCAATATATCTATATGAAATTTTGTTAAGGTTTTGGTTTAAATGATAGCCAGAAAAAATTAGACACCTCTGGAGAAAATGTCCAAGTGTATTTAGTTCTCATTGCCATCCACACATGACGATCGATATTTTTACCTGAAGAAAAAGGAAGACATATATATATTTATCAAAAAGTAAAAAGCTAAAAATAATTCATATTTAATCTTGTAAACACACTTTTAACATCAGTGGGGGGAGGGCAAACCTGATTCAGCCCCTCCTCCCCCCCTTCTTTTGGCTCTACTGATCATGATTGTGGACCAACTTTAATTAAATTGTGTTAATTAAGACAAAAATAAATCATTTCTTTCGGAGGTTTCTGCATAATTGCTAACACAAATCTTACTATTTTCACTCTTTGAACTTGAATAAAGTAACATAGATGACTAAGAAGGACCCCCCCCCCCCGGGCCCCCCCTAAAGTAAGCACTTTATAAGGCTCTGAGTTTACAGGACTACAATGATAACCAGAAAACTGTAGAATAGGAAGACGACATTTTAGCAATATTGAAGCACATTTGATGTGTTACAAAGCAAATAGCTTTACTTGTAAGTTGTTAAATCACTTATTAAGTGAAATGGGTTTGTATACACTGCACAAATGTTGTGTCTCTTGTTTGCATTGCAGACTATTTAAAGTTTTAACTTATCCAGTGTTTTCTGGTTATCACTGTATAAAAGAACTGTATAAAGATTTTAAGTTAACTAAACACAACTGAGGCTGAATTTAAAGAATTTGAGCCGTAGCTTATATTTTAAACACAGCTTAAATATGGTTGGATCCACTTAAAAATTGCATTCAATGTTTAAAGATTAAAGTCGGCGCTAAATTGAAACAGGTTTTTGGCGGATTTCAGACGCGGCTCAAATTCATTAAATTCGGACTCAGATCGTATTAAGGCCTGCAGGCATAATTTCAAGTAACCCTCCATTTACATTAAGTGGCATTTCCAATTCACATAAATACCCTTAAACCTTTGACTGATCAAGGTTGATGGAGATATCCTTGTAATTATTAAAACCTATACACTCCAATTTTTCAGTATAATTTGCATATAATTAATTAGATGGAGAAAAATCCTGAATTCTCCGCTATCAATGATCTGAGAAGTTTAAAGTGAACTGTTGTAAATCGGACATACCACTCTAGAACTTGAGGTCCTTTACAAATACTTTGACAATCCATTTAAAGTAAATAATGGCAAACGTGAAGAAAACTGTAAAACAAGCTGATTGGAATTCAATCTCAAAAGATTTTGAATGTCATATTTCTTTTCCTGAAAATTTTAACTTTTTGTAAAACTGCTCTTGTGTTTGTGTACAGGACCAGTGTGTTCTGATCAAATTACTATTTTAACTTTATGATTTACCATTTTTGTCAGAATCTGCAGACTCAGCAATCTTCTCAATACCTAAACATTTAATTTTGTCACAAAGGTTTCCAAACATGTAAACATTAGAGATTAAGAACGAATTCTTATACCTGCAGACTCAGCAATCTTCTCAATATCTAAACATTTAATTTTGTCACTAAGGTTTACCTATTGTATTTCACGTTCAGTAAAAGAGAATTCTAAAAAAGATATTTTATCGCCAAGTTTCTTTCCTGATCAAATATTTTCTTAATGTGAAGCCCCAGTATCCATACACTATAATTTTCCCCCATTTTGTTGTTAAATGGATTTCGCCTCGATCTTAGAGGGGTGTATACTGTGTACAGTGTATTTTATTATGTAACAATAATTTATTTTCCCTTTCATGTGAAGGAAGTTTTTTATAGGAATTTCATCAACTTGGGTTGTCTTTAGGAGAAAATATAATTTTTTCACTTTTCCTTGGGCTTAAAAGCGACTATGGGGACTTACTGAATGTTTATAAGATTCTGTTACATTTGGCAATTTACAATGCAGCAACAGAGGTGGGAGGAGGGGAGGGGGGTATTTAAGAAAATCTAAGAGGGTAAAAAATAAAAAAAATTTGACATTCTGTTCATTTAATTTTATACTTTTCAGCAGTGTTCACCCAAAAATATATTTATCTCCCTTAAAAATCATTTGCTATCCCAAATTCAGCGCATAAAACTAAAAAAATAGGGAATGATTTAAAGAAAATATACACCCTTGTATAATTATGCATTGGAGCTGTGTAGTGTGCATGTCTGGACATATGAATAATTTTACCCCTGTCAGAGGCTGGATATTCTCCACTTCTATCGCCTGCAAGCTCCCGTATCCATTCAGCTCTGAAGGATTCTAAAATTTTGCCAGGATATGCAGACTCAACAATCTTCTCAATACCTAAATATTCAATTTTGTCACTAAGGTTTACCAACATGAAAACGTTAGAGATTGAAAACGAATTCTTATACCTAGTTCATTATATGGAATCTCGTCGATGAACACATGATGATTTCTGTACTCCTCCTTACACAGAATAAAGGAGACCAAATCAAACAAAGTTAATCTACAATTAGTTTTTATTAATGTATGTTGTTTGTTTATTTTTCTCTAAGATAAATTTAGTTTGAGTATTATATCTTTCAAATGTTATTTTTCCCCCTTTCTTTCACCCTTAAAAACAAATTAAAAAAAACCGCTCTTTAAGAGGGACTGTTATAGGCGTAATTGCAAGTGAGCCTCCATTTGTAGACTGGCATGTCGGATTCACAACAGTACCCTTTTAACATTTGACTGATCAAGGATCAAGGATGATTTATAAAGGATGACTGATCAAGGATGACTGATCAAGGATGACTGATCAAGGATGACTGATCAAGAATGACTGACTACAGAAACGCTGCTTAGATTTTAAAGATATTAATTAACTTTCTAAAAATCGCAGAAAGTCAGTTTCCCGGAAAGGAACTGAGTTCTTGCCACAAACCCTGATTTTTTAATCGCTATATCATTGAAACCCGATGTCGTGACCTGCTTTGATATTTCAAACTATAAACTCTGGTAGATCTATTAGTCAGAGTTTAAAATATAAAAGGTTTACACCGCCAGGTTGAAAAGATATGGATTTTTAAAATAGAGTTTGTGGCTATAACTCAGTGATAAACACATCGAGTTCTCTACCCCCTGGTTTAAGGATACTGATGTACATCAGGCCCCTTTACATGGAAATTGGAATGTCACTTCAAATTTTGCACACAGTCCCTTTCAGCTACAGCTACAGCTACAGATAATACAATTACATGATAAAATTTTACATTTCTGAGAGATGGACAACATAAAGATTTGTAACACTAGAATTAAAGAAGTATAAATTACAATCAGAAGTTTACCACTTTGACTTAGTTGAGTTCGTAAATTTATTATATTTGTTTTTCTAACATATTTTGTGATTCCATTAAAGGGTCTCAAAATAGGAAAATGCTTTAAAAATATTAAAATCCACCAGAATTTAGGGAATTAAACAAAGGAACAGAGGTGTTGCTACAAAGTCAAACTTTCTATAAATGCATATATCTTTGCAACCAAATGGTGTAAACCTTTGATATTTTAAATTTAGAAACTTTTATCTAACATAGTTCATAGTTTGAAATAACAAGGGTCTACGACATCGGGTTGCACAGATAAAGGGATTCAAAAATCAGAGTTTGTGATAAAAACTCAGTTCCTTTAACGAAATTATAAGAAGGACCAGTAAAATTCATTTATACCAAAATAAGGTATCTATTGATTTTACATAAAATATCCATGTGAATGATTTTTATTTTTCTTTTTTATATAAATTGTCATTTACTTATTTAATTTTAGTTCTAAGAGACCTCTAATTAGTGTTCATTGGTCGGAAATAGTACGTTGATTTTGAAATTGTCCAAAAAATGTCAAAATTTAATCAAAATTTAAAAGCTGTGGTACCTTGAAAACCTGTATGTACCTTAAATTAAGATAATTGCTTTATTATCAAAGATATAATTATTATCTTCTATGACTATAAAAATAATCAACTTGCCCTTCTGTTGCTCTGTTTCCTGATTTCTCATACTCTTCTACCAGATCCCTCACTCCACACACCTCAAGTAACAAGGCATTGTAAAAATATGCATCAATAAAAATTCATTAAAGGGAATGTTCTTGTAATTTCATGTGACCTTTTCATGCCTGATCTACAACTGAACCATTTTGTAAAATTGATGGAGATTTCCTTGTTTTTCTCTCCGGAAATTTATAATTTTCAATTATGATTCTTTTAAAAAGTGACTTAATAATCTTTACAGAAGAGACCATAAAGAAAATGTACAAAATTTATCACTTTTCAAGATAGAAAAAATTAATAACAATAAAGGTTTAGAGAGTACCATTGTGAATCATTGTGAAGTAATTCTTTAAACAGAGGCTCAGGGGAAATTACGCCAAAAGTCCCTTTAAGTCTCAGCTTTAAGTTCATATCTAATTTTAGTAGGACAAACTGTGGCTCATTGTATCATGTGGCATGGGTGAAATTTTAGCCTTTAAGAAAAAACTTTTAATCAAAGGTTGTCCCCTACCTACCTTCATTGTTTCTTGTTTCACTTGATCATCAAAATCAAGTTTATTGCAGAGATCTAATATTGTCTCATTTCTCCAGTATTCTTTAAATTTAGTCTCTCTTGAATATTCATTTGCTGCTGCTGCATATTTAAATAAATCTGCTGCATCTGCTGCTGCTGCTGCCAGGGAGATGAAAAGAACCTTGTGACCAAATTCCCCTATTTCTGCAACAAATATTTTCTTTTGCTCGAATGCTCATTATTCTAATCTAATCTTTTACAAAACAAAAATTATAAATCATATTATTTTTAAATTACTAGATTTGTTATGGTTTAGACTAATAAAGGAGGTAATGTTATTTTTCACTTTATTCTTCCGAAAGACATTTCTATTTTTATTTATTCAAATTAATCAAATTAACCTTTATCCATGGTATTAAAAGAGTTCCAGGTCGTCAATAAAGCAATATCCTTGTGAGTAACCAAACACAAGGAAAGTTTTTAATTTTTAAGACACAACTAAAAATGTTTTATTATGCCTTTCTGAATGAATATGAAAAATACATATTGAAATTGCTACGTAATTTGGAATTTTAGACTTTCTCTCTATTTTACGTAGCGATCATCCCTAAAGCTTCAGGGATGAACAATTTTCAGGGGTGAACAGTCGCTCCATGACTCACTCCTGTATCCACCCCTGGTGGTCACTAGTCAGCCTATCATAATATTCATTGGAGTTCAATCAATGTATTCATATTTGTATTTCCTTGATTTTTGGCAGCCTTCTCACTTAACTCCAGGGCTTTTCTCTAAATATAAAATTATCTTTTTTTCTGCAAAACAACATTAATATTCTACAACTAATCTATAATCTCAAAATAAAAAACACTTTTTTTTCACTTCATACCTTAATGTTATAATCTATTAGATAAATATAAATGTAATTTCTTACCTTCAGTAAAAGCGTCTTCCCAGTCCCGTAATCAGCATTGAAAATAACACGCAAACAACTCAAAGCTTCAAGTTGCTCTTTTCTCAACCAGATCCAACTATCAGGTGGTTCTCTGGAATCACTAGAAAGTCCTGATTCACTTCCAGTAATTGCGTAGTAGTTGAGCTTTCTGTTCTCTGTTAGTGTTAAACTCCATGGGCTTGGGTTCTTCATGATCATAGTAAAGCCAAGTATTCTGGTGATAAGATTGGTGTACTCATGGTTCATATCATGTTTTGGTGGAAATCTGTCCAAAACATTTTTCAACCAGGCCTCCATGTTTTCCAGCTTCCTGTTGGACAAAAGTTGGAATGTTTGTTTTAACAGCATATATGTAAATAATGTGAATAATTGGCTTTAGGCAGGGTTAATTAATGTTTTAGTGGAAATCTGTCCAAAACATTTTTCAACCAGGCCTCCATGTTTTCCAGCTTCCTGTTGGACAAAAGTTGGAATATTTGTTTTAACAGCATATATGTAAATAATGTGAATAATTGGCTTTAGGCAGGGTTAATTAATAATTTAGTTATAAATAAAGAAAAACATTTGTTTAGTGAAGGCAATTGGAAAATTACGACTTTTTAGTGGCTTTTAGCTAATAATTTGGAAAATTTCAGATTTTAATGTCTTAATCAACTGTATTTTTTTACAAAATAAATATTTAATGAAAGTGTTTTTTTTTCGAAAATATGGACTATCTCTTTTTTGGTCTGAGCTAGCCAAAAATGTCAAAACAAATTTGTATTCAAGTAGAAAGCGAAGTGTCATTTATTTGATTAATAATTTGTCATAACATTGTTTTCAAACCAATGATCCACACTTTCCTTCCGACAATAATGAATTCTTCACAGTTCTGACAGCATCCGCAGTTCTGTTCAATTTTCTCCTGATTTTTATCCTCTTCCATGTTGAATATTAATGGAAGTGAAACACATTTCACTAATTTCCACTGTTTAGACAGGATATTCCAGTGTGCAGCTTTTAAGAACTGGTGGAATTTTTCACACTGCTGTGATCCTTCCTTGAGTTTGCTGTGGAAACTTGTATCCTCTGTTGCTGCTTTAGTTTCAATAACAATTAGCAGCTTACGCAATGGGAGAACAATCAAGGTATCTACTTCTATGTTAAGTAGCTTTTCTGTAGCTGTCGGCTTCACTGGCAAATGTTTTATAAAAGTACTGGACATATAACCCTTCATGATGAATGCTTGTTCATCTGATGAATCATATAATTTCTTAACTTCAGCTAAAACCGTTCCATACAGTAAATCTTCAGCATAAAAACCAGCCAATTCTGATAATTTTTCAGTTTTTTTCTTTGGGTTGTTCTTGGTTTCTTCCAATTCTTGTGATTTTGCTTTCCGTTTCTTAGAGTTGTTCATGGTTTCATAAGGATCATTACTTTTAGCAATGAAAGGTTCATGATCTGGGGGCATAGCTATGACTTCATGTGGAAATGAATCAAACTCTTTCATGGCCATTTTTAATTTTTCTGTTAAGTGTAATGGAAGCACTTGGAGCAAAGGATCTTCTTCGGTACTGCTAGGATTGAATCCAATAAAAGGACTGCATATTCCAAGTTTCAATTTACAGAGACATTCTTTGGGTTTCTCAGGTTCCCCTTTCTAAATTACAGATTTTTCATGCTTTTATGAATAAACAATTTGTTACAACATTTTCCTTTTTAAAATAATTCTTTTTATTTGTAAGTAATGGTCACTGATTGCAAAATACATTATATATTTTTAAGATAATTATTTATATTCTTATGTAGCTTATAGCGAGACAACAATGTTCATTGAAATCCTGTAAATCTATATACTCTATGAAAGAACTGAAGGGTTTAAGGGGTTGGATTTTCTTACCTCTGCCTCTGCTCCTTCTAAGGCTGACATTCTGAACAAATTTACCCTTTCTAGGCTACTCAGTTTTCCTTCTTAATATCTGAAAAACAAATTGCTAAGTGTTTTTATTTTATCAGAATGTACCAAATTATATTAGATTACATTAAGTAAAATATAAAAAATTTCTTTTATCTATCCGTATTCTACAGCATTGAATGATGAATGATATTATATATATAATATTAATAGAATATCTATTATAGATAAATAAATAAAGTTAATTTGCGCAGAACTCCATACAAAAATCTGATTTTGCATGCTTTATTTCTCATGTGCATAAGGAAGTGTAAAAAATTACGAATTTGATACACAAACAAAAATTCGTGCAAAATACGCAATTTACATAATAAGATTTTTCAGATTCCTGGAAACCCTAAACCGGGAAAAAGCCTCAAAAGTTGTATTTTTTAGGCGTTTCCACGTTTCCTAGAATTTTTCTGAAATCATTCAAACTCAATTCCACATTTTCTTCATCTCTTATCCTGATATATTTATATCTGTTTTCGTCTTTTTTTTGAAAAAAATTCTTGCAGAAATTTCCCCCAAAAACGTAGGAATTTATCTAAACAATGTGATGTAAGGATTTGGGTGTATACCGGGAAGTCTTAGCCTAGACCTTGAATTCAACCAGTGGTGTGGGGTGGATTCCAACCCAGGACCTGCAGACA